TGTTTTGCTCGTGACGATAATTAGTGAGTGATCTCTCCCTGTCCTTATCTCTACCCAAGCCTTTTGTTATACTTTTCCTTCCCATCATGCTGGGGGAGGGGTGAGCGAGCGGCCGCGTGGTACCCTGCTGCCGGCTGGGCCTAAACCGCGACACTGGCATATTCTCTTAAATTCTTTCCAGTGATGTTTTTTCAGGGCTGAGAGATGTTCCGTCCAGTTTTCCCAGTTGTCATTGCCCAAAGGCTATCACTTGCCTATACTTTCTAGCTGGCATCCTCAGTACGTTTTGGTCATGTACAGGATTTCCCCTGTATCATAGAATGGTTTGGGTTGGAAGGGACCTCAAAGATCATCTAGTTCCAACCCCCCTGCTGCAGGCAGGGACACCCTCCACTAGACCACATTGCCCAAAGCCCCATCCAACCTGGCCTTGGACACTTCCAGGGATGGGGCATCCACAGCTTCTCTGGGCAACCTGTGCCAGTGCCTCACCACCCTCACAGTAAGGAATTTCTTTCTAACATCTAATCTAAATCGACCCTCCTTCAGCTTAAACCCATTACCCCTTGTCCTGTCACTACACTCCCTGATAAACAGCCCCTCACCATCTTTCCTGTAGGCCCCTTCAGGTACTGGAAGGCTGCTATAAGGTCTCCCTGGAGCCTTCTCTTCTCCAGGCTGAACAACCCCCACTCTCTCAGCCTGTCTTCATAGGAGAGGTGCTCCAGCCCTCTGATCAACTTCGTGGCCCTGCTCTGGACTCACTCATGGCTAGGGAAGATGCCTGGAGAAAAGACACAAGCACATGTAGAGTGGGGCTGGAGACCAGCTGAATTAGGTCACACCTGCATGTCCTAAACACAAACTCCTCGTCTCCCTACTTGTCCTTTGTTCCTCCCTTGCTGTGTCCTCTTGGAGATCACACCCATTTCCTTGGCTTACCACAGCCTCCTTACCACCTTCCCTTTCCTGGGGTTTCCACACCAGCGGGTCCTATCATGCCACTGCGGTGGCCCTGGCCCCTTCTTGCTGGATGTGGGAAGAGGGGGACACCTGACCCTTTGGCACCGAAGCTTGCTCTGAGTCAGGGCCATTACTCCTGAGCAGCAAGGAGGAGGATGATGAGGAACACCGGCTCCCTGCTGTACAGTATATAAGCACCAGCCTACACTCCCAGGTCAACACCAGCCCTGTTTTGAGGTCTTCCCCTCAAAACATTCTAGTCCTTCTCTTTGTATTGCTCCGGGATGTCCACACATGTGTCACTGACCAGACTCCCCATGTAACCGCTGGGTTTAATCATGGAAGGAATTGCTTTGGCTGCACAGAAGCAGATCAAGATCTTCCAAATCTGTAATGGCAGTAGCTACTTTCACCTTAATCTGTAAAAACCCAGATCCAGCCAAGGAAGAGGTAAAAAACAAAGCAAAACTTCTTCCCAAAAGTAAAATTCACTAGTTTTTAAGAACATCTGTTTAACTCCATTAAGACCCTGCACTTGCTTAATTCAGCCTTTTCATCTGACCACCTCTGTCAGTCACCCAGATGAATCCTCTATTTACCACTGAAGAACAGGAATGAATGACAGAAACTTAATTAAAAGTTTTTTTTTATTAAAAATCAACATATTTGTACATCTGTACATTACACATACTGCTGTGTATGTTCACCAACATAACCATTAAGTCAGAAAGCAGTAACAGTAGATTTCCATCTGACCAAATTTACCGCAGGGGAACTTCAGTTTTGTAATCGGACATTACAGAATGTCATTAACTTCTTTTCTTCTCTTCCCTTTAAAAGTAGCAGTGCATTTAATTATCAGTGTTCACAAGGCATAAGCCCCGAAGTGTTGTACAGCAAGAGAAAAATTAATTAGTAAGTATAGGCAATAGGAGAGTTCACAATGAAAATGTATTAGTTGGTGCCTATTATAAACAGCAGGATGTTAATAAAACACTTAGAGCTATGCTGAATAGAGACTGCAGCAAATTGTGAAGAACAATGAAAGCAAAAAGTTACTTCTTGATAAAACTTGTAAAATAAAATATTTTTTAATGCCATTCAGGACAGAAGTCCTGCAAAGAACAGACATTGTTATAAAGATTCAGCAGAATCAGGATAATGCTTGTTTGTTCAAACATGTAAAAAGGGTCTTGGAAAACATGGACACTCCATCCCTACCACGACCTTCCCACAGCTGACATTATGTCCTGGTTTTGGCAGGGATACAGTTAATTTTCTTTCTGGTAGCTGTGTTTAGGATGAGAATAATGTTTGTAACACACTGATGTTTTCAGTTGTTGCTGGTAGTTGTTGTGTCTACACCAAGTCAAGGACTTTTCAGCCTTTCACACCCTGCCAGATGCACAAGGAGCCAGGAGAGCACAGCCAGGACAGCTGGCCCAGGCCAGCCAAAGGGATATTCCCTGCAATATGATGTCATGGTCCAGATAGAACTGGGGAAGCTGCTGGGAGGTGGGATCGCTGCTCAGAAACAAACTGCGCATTGGTTTGGTTTCCCTTCTGCATGTGGTGAGGAATCGCATTTTTGTATCACTTGTTTTATATATATATTATTATTCTCTTCCTCTGCTATCCTATCAAATTGTCTTTATCCCAACCCACAACTTTTCTTTTTTTTACTGATTCTCCTCCCCATCCCATTGCGGGAGGGGGAGCAGGGGTGAGTGAGTAGCTGCACAGTGCTTGGTTACAGGCTGGGGTTAAACCACGACACATTATTAGGCTTTCATGTGGTTGATGTAATAAAGTGACATTTTATTGAACAAAGACAGATGTGCTCAGGAGCCCAGTCAGAACTCTCAAGATTTACACCCATGTCAATTAAGTGCTAGAAGAGTGACATTAAATCAGGTAACAAAGGTTGGAAAGTTTTTGGGGATGGGGAGTGAGGGGAACAAAGAGAGAAGTTCTCACTGTAACCCGGACTCCTGTGCGTGCCTGAGCCACCACAGTATGAAGTCAGTTCATAGGTACCTGTGGTGCAACAAAAGCCAATTGCTTATTTTCTCCAGACTTTGAGACCAGCATTCTTGTAATATTATCAATGTGATAACTTATCCCTTTAAAACATAGAAATGAACACCTAACGGAAATTCTCTCTCATAAATACACAGCCGTTCATCTTATTTCAAGCAGAGTAACAGAGTCTGGGCAATGTTTTGTCATTAGTATTTTTCATCTCTTTGACTTAGGAGAAAAACTGCACATGACGACATATACACGTAATTTTTATGTGAGGAAGTATGGAGATATAAAAAAGTAGAAAAGAGTTTAATGAGTGCTTTTTGTATGTATCAGGGACTGTAACAGAGGATGGCTTAAGAAGAGTCAGAGCTGCAATATTTCTGTAATTAGAAGCTACATGTGAAGCAAATGTGCCTCAGTATCTGCAAAAGCATCTGTGTGAGAGACTAGTCTCACTTGTTATGTGCTGAATCACAGACACACTGTCACATTTAAAAAAAAAAAAAACAACAAAAAAACCAAACTGCACTACTGTTTTTGTTTCCACACATACAATGTTGCAGAAGCCTCACTGGAAAAAAAACCACCACCACCACCACCGAGTGAGAGAGATGAATTACAAACACAAATAACTGAAGAAATATTCTGACAGAACCTCCTCTCTCCAAGGGCAGGTCTAAGACACCACATTCCCTAACCGGGGAGAAAAAGATTGCATCAAACTTAAACTCCCAGAGCCCATTTAATTTCCAAACTAGAAGGATGGTCAAAGAAATATTCCCTTTCCCTGCCTCTCCTCCTTCACATAACCATTGAGCAATTAATAACCAGATTACCACTCATTCCCTCCTTGCTGCCACAGCCATACCAGAAGAACTCACCACAGTAGCAATGCTGTCCCAGGACTTCAGGTGCAGAAAACAAGAACCAGCAGACTGACAGTGCCAAAATAAAAGAAGGAACAAAGTCAGGTTCTCCGATGTGACGTTCTTACCCAAGGGGAGCTGTAGTTGTCCTACCTAAGGGAATTTCAGTGCAACCTTTTTGCTGATAAAATACAGAATATCACGCACCACTCTGATGTAGGCTGTCATCTCCTCTGGTCGAGTATTATCCCCGCTGCTCAAGTGCTGCACAGAGACTGGAAGAGCATCCTCCACCTGCCACCTCCTTGCTGAGCTCTTGTTCTACCTCAGCCTCACATTGGTTGTTTTTGCTTTGTCTTTTTGTTACCGTGGGATTTCCATATTAATTCATCCAAATGAGTTCTAGTATAAAATTTAACAAAGAAACAGGTAATAATGTACGAATCAAATGCCAGTATTTTTTCCAGTCCACATTTCTGGGGGCTAAAAAAATTAGATCCCCCACTTCAATACTAATCACCCTTTCAGTCATCTGCTACCTTGCATGACTCTGATTTCTGTACATACAATTATTGTTACTGCTGCATTTTAGCCAAAGTACAAAACTGAAAAAATATCAAATATTAATGAAGAATTGTTTACTCTTTTACAGCCATATCTTTTCATGCGGTAACAATTAAGAACTTTCTTGTGGTCTGGCATGATATGATCTCTATTCCATTGCAACACTAGTTGACAAGATTAAGTTCATCACTACCTAGTAGCTAGAATTAGTCTTAATCATGGAGAGTGGTATTTGTTTTAGTACCTCCTTATTAAATAGGAACAAAGAACACTGAGGATGCTTGCAGCAAAAGAAAGTATTTCTTATGAATCGCATGCTACTGTCTGCAAAAGGCTTATCAGATCTTTGTAAAATCACTTCCTCTCTATCAGCAAGTATTCTGAGGACAGGGGACTACAAATCTGTCTATCGCATCATTGCCAGTTGCATACACAGTGTTTGAAAACCATGAATACAAGATACAGAAAAATTTGCTCATACCAGTGCAACACAGGAGAATCAGTCGTGTCAGAATTAAGTCAGAAATGCTCACATTTGTCTTTTTTGCAGGTGCCGTTCACTAAAAATGGCTAACATGTCTTAGCAGAAAGCACTACAAAATTACTTGATTTTATTTTTTTAAAACCCAAGACAACAGCTATACTTTTCTAATTTCAAACTCAGGAAAGAGAAAGATCCAAAGGTCTTTTGCTTCGAAGACAAAGAAATTGGTGTTTTGTTTTGTTTTTTCTCCCCTTGGATGTATTCTGGTTGCCTCTTCTGGGAGGCACTGCTACACTTACAGTGCTGTTTCTTTAGCCAACCTTTCTGTCTTGGGAGACCTCTGCCAAGATCGCACCTAGAAGATATGCAGATACTCCATTTTGCTGAAAGTCTCCACTCTGATTTGGAATGCTGGAACAGTAAGCAGCCATACTAATACAACTGCATGCTGGTCAGTAAGCTTGGTATTTATTAGAGCTTTACAGAATTAAAAGAAATGCTTAACTTTTAAATAAAAGTGCTAATTTTTGAACCTCTCATATGGGAAGCTGCTTCTTTTAAACTGATTACTTTAAAATAGTTAAATAGCAATGTGAATACTTATCAGGGCAGTTAAGTAAGGGGGTTTTGTTGTTATTTGAAAAGTCATAGTTTACAGAATGTTTTGTAGAATATAACAAATCCAGTACCCCTGTAGTGCACCTTTGTAGATTTCTTCCCAATTACACCTTCTTTCCATGATTTTGATTGCACAAAGTCAACCACAAGTACTCAAACCTATTCTTGTGGAGTTCCAATCTGCCTAAGTTATGTTATAGCAAACATTTAGCACATAACCTGTACACTTGTGTCAGCTACATCTTTATCCTCCAAAGAAACTCTAGAATGATATAAGATCAATTTATTCAACTGTATGTACAATATATTTGCATATTAATAAATAAATCATTATTAAAGTTAAGGTCTCTTCCCCCATATAAAATGGACTACAGTTTGACCAGACAATCTGACACTGTTTTTTTTTTTTTCTTCCAAGCACAGCTGTGTGGCTGAGGCTATCAGTTTCCACTCAGTTTACTACAGTAACTGTAGGAGTAGAAATCTAACAGACCAGTGCTTACATTTCAATTCTATACAGCAGGGGGCTACTAAAAAGTGCATCAAAACCCAACAATTTGTAGAGCAAAAACCAAGTTCATAATGTGATCCTGGGGAAGAGAATCCAGCCCAAAAGAGGACATGCTGCAGCAAACATTATAACCAATGCACATTTTTGTCCTGATAGTAAGCTGCGTGATGCCAGTCTTGTCACGTAAGGTTCCAAGAATTACAACTCCAGTAGATACCGTCTTCACCTCTACAAATTTATCAACACCACATTCAGTGCAAAATGACATTTCTTAAAGTAACTGTTTGCCTTGTCTCCATAACATTCATCCTTACTGTGAAGAAAAGGCTCGTTTTCTTGAACTGTTTACTACTATATACAGAAGAGCCTATATTTGCACCTCTCCATTTCTAGTAGTGAATTTTCTATCTACATTCATTAGAAATCAAAAAGATAAGTGGACATATTTCATATTTACTGAAAGTCTTCCCATTAACCCAAAGACTAGCTGTTCATCTTGATTTATACCTAAAGTAGCTGCACTTTGTTCTTTTTTTCCAGCCCACTTTCAATGGGGTATAAGTCATGGGAACCTGTGGGACCAGAACATATTTCAAGTCTGATTGCTGGAGCTGGAAGAGTGATGAGTCATGTTTGAATTCAGATGTCTGTTTGCAGCACAGTGTGTGTGGACCACACCCCCATTTGGGTATCTGACAAATACCGGCTTGGAGAAAGGATTTTGGCACAACTGACAGACCTTTTTGTCCGAAAGAAGAATTGGGGTTCCTTTTTGTTTAACCTAAAGAGAAGGAAAAAATCCAAACGTCAATCTAGCAAGAAAGGAAGGGAAATTATGAGACACATAATTTAAACTGTGTCAAATGAACAAACCTGGTCAATGACAGAGGTAGTAAGAAAAAACAGCTTGAAAAAAACCCCAGAACCACTTAACTTGAATTCAATTTCCACATTCATACTCATGCTTCCTCATAAGGACTGCTTTTTTATTATTTTTTTAATTTTTCTTTGTTTAATAAAGAAAAGCACTCACACATTTAATGCAACTGAAAACCCAACATAAGGTCACAGGACAACTCCGCAGCACACTGAGCACTGATGCATTTTTATTCCAGATAGATTTTGCTGGATATACTGTCATTAGAACTAAACAGATTTAAGAATCTGCAGGAAGCTTTAAGCAACACAGCTCTAGTTAGGATGAGAATAAAGCTTCACAAGTGAATTTACCACTAACAAGCTTCAATTAATACTAAGTGCTGGGTAAACTTTTTTGCGAATTCCGACAGGTCTTAATCCTAGTGAAAAAAAAACGTTAATTCACATTTGTTAATGTTTCTGTAAGAACTTTGTTAATCTGCAAATCCCAGATTCACTTTCATTCAGCCTAGAAGTTCACCAAAGTTCTTCCTATTTCAAGGCCCCCACGTTCCTTTTTGTTTTACAGGGAAAGCATAAAATTAAGTTTGAATCTAGCAGTCATGGCAAAAAACCTAATAAATGCAGCAAGGAAAACTGCCAAGGACAGGAAGATATCTTTGTCCTAATTCTTCAAACTTCTTTTGATCATTATATATATATATATAAAAAAGAACTTAATTGTAAACCTTCAAAAAACCTTATATTTTAAAAAAACCCAGCAAAACACACACCTACCTTCTCATATTTGTAGATTAAGTTTTCAGCTTGTGCTAACCCAAGTGCAGTCTGAGTCATTCTTCTTGTATGAACGCTTTGCCTCACTGCTCCAGCCAGGAATGGGGAGAGGAGCTGCACTGACCAGCTGTCAGGCACCAGCTGCAAAACTAGAGCCGCATCAAATTCAGCAGCGTGGCTATTCAGGAGATCCACAGCAGCCATGACTAGCGCACAATCCGAAGTGCCTGGATTTAGGTACACTGACAGCAGCATATGGAAAAGCCTTCGTCTGTACTGCACATCTCTGTTCTCAGAGTTCCATATACAGTATTCTTCAGCAGCATGGAAGTCCTTTAACTTGTGGACAAGGATATGCAAAGCCTTCTCGTGTTCTTCTAGTTTTCCATATAAAATTGCACTTTCCATATGAAGGTCTGTGCCCTGGATTTTGTCTGTTAAATGAGAAATAAGGTAATATTTGCTCAGTGGAGAAGATGACTACTCCCTCTCCCAGAGTCAATGCAAACAAGCCCAAAGAACTCAACTCCTGCTATTTCTGCAGAGGTCCTGGCAGCTATAAAGAGGACAGATGTTTGTAAGTACAAGAAAACCTAGACGTCTGGAAACACATAACAAAAGAGCACCACAAAACACAGGAAGAAGCAATTACTAAATAACAGATGATAAAACCAGTGTCACTGACACCTTTTAAATGCTAGCGTGTCAGCCTTGCACATTTCTGCGCACATTGCTACCACGCATGATAAACTGTAAGATGAAGCCACAATATTTTTAACCTCTACTTCCACCAGTATTATAGAAAATTAGAGAATAGTTTAAAGTCCATAGAAGACAATAAAGATCAAATAGTACTTCCCATTAAGAAAAGGACACTACAAATCCTTAATCCAGTCTGACAGTTTAAAGTGTTAGCAACAGATAGGGGCATTTTAATATATAGCAGGAAATCCTCCACTTACTGTAAAGGTGATAAAGATTTGGCATAGGCCTCTCTCAAAGGTATGGAAATACAATGTTTTCCTCCCCAAAATGTTTTGCTTACCAAGGAGGAACACACTAGCATGCATTGATCTCACCTGCATGTAAGATAAGGATTGTCATGTAAGAAATCCTGTGTTTTGGAGCACACTGATTTCAAGAGAATAATCTTGAAACTCCTGCCCTTAAAAATTTGGTTAAAAATTAAAAGATGAAAAAGAGCAAGAGTTTCAATGACTGTGTTATACTTGTACATTATCTGTTGCGTAATGTTTTGCTGACTGGAAAGGCAAGGGGACATTAAACATCGGTAAATTATTTTAGTTGCTACTCGGCTCTTTTTATTTCCACATCCATTGGATTTTTCCACTGAATTTCAGAAAAACATTTCATATCTTTCAGTAAAATAACAAGTCATTTCCCTTTCATCCACTGGAAGGTACGTTAAAAAAATATAGCCATTATAAGCATTGGCCAAGGAAAAAAATTAGCTCAGCTCTTTCTTGCCTTATACCAACAGTAAGGCAGATGTTGCACTTTTCACTCAAAAAGATGCTCATATTTTTGTTTAGCATGAGCCCCAGCTTTCAGGGTGAGAGCAGGTTATGGACAACAAACATCCTTGGTATTCAGATTCCTCAAAGCTTTGCTTCAGTTCTCTGTTTACAAATAAAATTGTAAACATTGGCAAAAGATTGTCACAAGTTACATGCTCATTAAAAAGAAACTGACTATAAATTAAGAAAATAATTGTATGAAGATATTTTTTGTAGCTAGTTATGCTATTCTGGCTTTGGTGCAGTGGCAAACATACCAAGCTATGGTAGGTCAAAGACAACACTAACAGGTACACTTTTTACATTAACTTGTGTCTGTTAGAAATACAGATGCTAAGCCTATCAACCAAATACACCTAGAAACCTCAAATCGTTTTGTTTTCTATCCTATAAGAACTTCCCCATCCCACCTCCTATTTCCTGCTGGAACTGACATCATTTATAATAGAAAACATGCATCTTACCCAAAATAAAGTGAATTCTATAAAGATCAGATTTCTGAAGAAGACTGCGTAGTTTAAACAGCAGTTCAGTTGTTTCTGTAGAATTATCTGTGGTCATGGATTTTAGCTGAAGTACTGCCTCCAAGTACAAGACAGCTAGATGGGTATGGTACTTTTCTTTCTACAGATGAAAAGAACAATGTTGGCTCAGTTTACAAAACACAACCCCTTCTCCCCACCAATAACAGTGATGAAGATTTACATAATCACATAGAAATGTGTTTTAATTCAAACTAATTAGAAAGTTTTTTTATTCATGTAGATAGACAACTTAGAGCAGCTTCACAAGATACACTATACCTGAGACTCTTTTGTTAATACAGGTATTTCCAAAATGTAGATATGAAACATCTTATTCTTATACCCCTCTTCACCTTAAATAAACAAGATCCATAAATAGCTTTTCTCATGCAAAAATTACTTCCTTTTGAAAGTCCACCTAATGAAAATCAATGCAGTGCAGTAAAGCAGACCTCTCTGAGTACAAAGTATGATCCTCACTGTGTCTTCTTTTGTTTCCCTTGTAAAATGAGTAATTTTGATCTAATGCATTTTTCTTCCCATTCAGGGATGATCTTTGACTTTTTCTATTTCTGCAATAAAATCTGAGACAGCCATCAGAGGTTGACAGGCACTCTGAAGGCACAGTGCTTTTTGTGTTATTACCCAATATTCATCAAAAAAAGTTGATGATTTGACTCTTTGAAACATTCTCACTAAAGCAATTACAATAATCTAGTACCTTCTAGTAACTTCTCCTGTGCTTAAAATGTCTCATATCCAAGTACCATAATGTTTGGCTGTATTGAAAACCCACGTATAGAATATACTGTCATTTATGACTTGTGAACACATCTTTCTGGGCACTCAACATCTAGAGTGGTTTGGAATTCTAGTGAGAGGTGGATGATTTAATTCTATCATTAATTGCTTAAATGACTCCAGAAGGACAGAATAAAACATACTTACTTGTAAAACACTGAATTAGCAACTTTAGTATATTGCTGCTGCAGTGCAATAGGATTAGCAGTTGCTCAACCATTTTTCTGTGCTCTTACCAGACAGAGGTTTGAGCCTCATCGGTGAAACAGAAAACTATACAACAATCAGATGTTTAAAACCCCCCCAAGAAACCACAAAAAAACCACCAACTCTGAGGGGAGGTAAGCAACAGTCTTGCCAGCACGAGAGTTGAAAAGTTAAAAATAATGCAGATATCTACTCCTCATGCTCCACTTTAATCTTAAAACCACTCCCTTCCCTGCTCTGAGTACATTTGAAAGCCTTCAAATTATGCTTACTTCTTCTAGACTTTAGCTTTTTTTTGGAGTTGTTCATGATAGTCTGTATTCTGAATCCTATGCCTATTTTAGGAGCCTTGTAGGACTCACCTCTATTTTTCTGTCCAATACTAGATGTTCTAGATATTTAACACGTGCTTTAGGATATTTGTTAAGGCAACTGATGATATCGTCTTGATTAATGTTGTTCTTCTCCTGTTCTTCCAAAGGCCTTTTAGTGAAAATCTGTACGCCAACCTAGGAAGAGTCAGTTGCATTTAGGAACTCAGTGGTAACCATTTTATTACCTTTTTATTTTAAATACTTATTTAATAGCATTATCAAATTAGTACATTACTCAGGAAGATAAACAACACACAAAACCCTGCTCAACACCGCCAAGATTACACTACTCAGTGCTTACTGTGATCTCACTCACTCCCACCTCCATTACCTCAATTTGTAGTCTATACATTGTCCAGCCTATAAACCTTGTGTGGGGCACAACCTCCACCAGCCACAAAAAGCACTGAACAGATCTGCATAACAGCAGAGCAGGACACTTCAGCCCTTTGCAGCAAGAAAGCTAAGTTAGAGACCAGAATGTTTACAGCCTTATTGCTGGGTATATCATCATCACATTTAAGAGACTTCTATAATGACCAAAACAAAAGCTTAGAAATCTATCACTGCATGTAATAAATAAGCTTTAAATTAATAGAAATTAGGCAGTAACAAGTTCCAACAGCACAGACTGTCTGATACCACACTAATGGATGTTGCAAAATTATTTTTTAATTTTGGTGGATTAAGTTAATTCTTGTAGCAAGAAGGTTTTGTCTTGAATGAAGGTTATTTATTCCATATCCTAGTGTATCTAGGTCCTAGATGTCACCTGTCCCTGGAATGCTTTTAAAAAAAAAACAGCAGTGACAGTTAACCTGTTAGGTGATTTTTTTTTTTTTTTTTTTTTTTAAGATCTGAAAATTATCTTGCTTAATATGAAGAAAACCAGAAAACACGCGCTATCTTTCATTGTATAGAATGACCTAAACTTTATTTTCAGAAGAAAAAGAAGGAATTTTCACTAGCACTTGTTAACAGAGGAACATAGAAGGACTGAGAAACCTGGAAGTTTTCTTCTGTAGAAATAAGGCATTAAAACATTTTGCAAAAATGGTCCAAATTAACTATCAAGATGGAACAATGTTAATGAACACCCAAACACCACTGCAGGGAAATACTTCATACTGGTGATATTCTGGGAAAAGTACACCAATCACAAACCTCTTCATTTTTTTGTAAAACCCATTCAGAGTATTTCCACACTAGATCTTGGTCTGAGCAGAATGTAAGGAAGTCTACTATATATTCATAGAGATCTGAACGTGTAGAATCTTGAATGTCTCCATCAACTATTTTCACCCATAACTGCAACAAAAACACACAAAGATTAAAGTGCTTCAAACATATACTAGCCCTTCTAACTTAAACAACTTAAAATTTTATGTGAGCTACTACAACACCTCGTATTAGCCACTGGGGCTTGAGGAATTAGAAAGAGCTCCTAGGAACACCAAGTGCAAGGGGCCTCACTGGTCACTAAATTCATGCCTCCTCTCCATCACAGGCTTTTCTTGCCCCTGCCATATTCAACTAATTCAGACTCTGTATCATGTAGGTTCTCACGTTCTGAGAGCGACTGGCCAAATACTTCAGGAAGAAGTACGCTAAGCACAAAGCAAACTTTTTTCAAAAGTTCATGTCTTCAATGTCTGGTATAATTTTCATGCGTTCTGTGTGTGCAAGATTAAAAGCAAATGATATAAACAATTTAGAAGACAACCTGATTTTCTGCTCTTCTTTCATTTTGACTGAAGAACTTTAAGTACTGTGGGAGATTTTTTTAATATAAATTATAATTGGAACAAAAAGGTGCCATATCTAGCAGTCCATTTTAACAATAAACCTTGTTCCTTGAAACAAAGAAAAATATCTTGCACATGACAAAGGTACATACTGTTTTTGTTGTCCTTAATGGACTTCTGCTCAGGAAATTACTATTTATGTAACTGATGTGAATGCATTCAACAGCGTTACTGTGATTAACATACTCAAAAAGCCACACAGTATGGCAAACTACTTAAGGTATCGGACATGGTCTGAGACATACGTGCTATTTATTGATCAAGAACATACTAATTTTTTAGATGAAGTTTTGCAGAGAGGAATAATAAAATTACTTAGATTCCAGTCTACAGACCACTGTTGGTCTTAGTGGCATCAGCAGGGGTCCCCCCAAAGGGATTACTAACCCAGGAGAAACCCACAGATCTTGCAGACTGAGTTCACTGTCGATCATCAAATAAGGAAATAAAACTCCTAGGGGCTGTCAGTGTCTGTCATGAGATTACAATACTGCTTTGCTGTGTGTATACAGACTAATCAGCACAGGATATGTCCCTGAAGTCCCTCAAACATCTTGTTAAGTGATCTCTTGATTATTTTAGCGCTTCTGTCCATCTTCCAAGAGTACAAACATATGTTCTGGTACACACAGTTTTGCTTAAAAACAGCATACAAGCATCTAAATAGCTGTCATCGTCAGTAAGGTCTTCAAGTTTTTCACATCTAGCATATTAATTTATTCAAGGAAGTCTTGGCATAAGTTTCCCTCATATATATACACATCACTACTTTGCAAACAGATAAATTAGCACCTCAGATTTTTATGTTGGAGGTAAACTGGCATATTGGAATGGTTTACAGATGACACTGAAAGCTTTATTCTAACCTGAAGTGCTGTAGCATCCTGACCATTGTAGTGATACAGAAGACCAAGGGCAAAATACCTGTATAGAAAGATAAAATTAATATTAAAGTTGCTAGATCTTTCCTACCAATTTTGTTATGGTTTGATTAGCACAGAATAACAAATAATCGCTTACAGTGGGATTTTTAGGTCACATGTACACAGCCATGTCTACACTTGAACAAGTGTCTGTAGGCCCTTTTTCAGAATCAAACAAGAAAAGTTCTGTCCTAGAAATGTGTCTGTGTCTCTACTGTCTCTAAGGCAATTTCTAGTTACTAGCTCCAAGTAAAACAAAGTACGTGTCAAATCACAGATAATTCCTACGCTGTTCTTTGAATTTTATATACAGACTCAACACACAGCTCCAAATAATAAATATTCCTCCAATAGTTAATCAGGTATCATTCAATCAAATTTTTATGATGCTTTTACTCAAAACTATCAGAAACATATTTTTTTTTCTTTACTGCAGCATGAAAGCAAGTCAGGCAAGGAAAAGCTCTGTACAGTGTCATTATGGAATTTTTTTTTGTATAATGTAATAAAAATAAAGCTGAAGTTTTGTAATGGCTGTTCTCATGGAACAATATTCTACCATTTACATTTGCAAAAGTTTGCCATGCAAACCATACTTACCAAGAGGATTTAACAAAACACACAAAATAAATCAAACCACCCTAAATCTAACCACAATTAAGGACTCTTCTTCACTACTGGAGTTGCTACTACTGCACCACACAATTTAAAGATTAAAGAAACTAAATCTAAGACAGAGACACTACCTACAACTGGAGTTTGTATTTTACACATTTACTATCTAGTGTTTCCTGCTTAATGACTAACAGCCAATTCTCCATTTGCTGGCATTTCCAATTTGAAGTCAATTGCAGTCATCTTAAGCAACATCCTTTTTATTCTGTCCATGTACCACTACTGCATCCATTCAACTCTCACATTGTCACAAGGGCAAACAAATCACCCTGGGTTTTTTTCCAAATCTAAACCAATCCCTTATTTTTGTGCTGGACACAGAAACTTTCAGGGAGAACTCTGTATTTACCAGCATAAGAGAGGACACATTTCCTTTACCTCAGACTGTTAATCAGTATCTTTTCACCAATATTTTAAAATGCTGACAAGTCAGGCCAAGTTGGTTTTTTGACCTGAACGCACAGAAACTACGAGGATCTGAACATGTTGCTCTAGAAGCCAGTAATATTTAAGACAATTTTCCCTCTGGTCTCAAAGATGCAATACTCAAAAAATCCACTCACTTTTTGTGCTTCTCCAGCCAGGCAGCACTATCTGTTAAAAGACAAAAGTTCTCTGAAACTAGCAGATCCAGAAGGCTTTCATGATTTGACTCTGCATACAGCTTGAGTAAAGCTGTGTCAATGTCTTCCTTGTAGCCATTTGCAACCTCAGTGCTGCGGACTTCATTCAAGTAACTCATGAGGAATCGTTTGCATTTTGTCATCTTCTCCTGGTCTCCTTGGGTCAGTTGGTTTAGGTCCGCGTACTCATGCAGAGGGGGATGAGATCGTATAAATGAAGAGGAAGTAGGCAACAGGAAGGGGTAGAGAGAGATCAGCTCCCGGACATCAAGCTGGCCGCTTCTGCAATTACAGTGTCAAACTAGATGAAGCAAAAAGAAAGAAAAAGTATACATAGGCACAAAAAAAAAAACCATACTGGGAATGTGTGCACACATATGCTTACAGTCAGGACACTAACAGGTTGTCTGTTTCTGAGAGTTATTGCCTTCTATGCTAGAGAAAATATATTCAGAACAAATTTGGCATTTTTTTTGCAATTTCTGTCCAAACTTGATTATCGTTGTTCTTCCTCCTCTAGACAGTGAAAGCTCTGAGAATTCGGAGACTGGCCAGCCTTTTGCTTTTGACATCCCACAGCTGTTCTGCGACACATACAAAAATCAGCTGAATAGCCTTAGTGCAGTTCCCAGGACTGTCCTAGACTTCATTTATACATCACAGGAGCTAGTCTTACAACGGAGACAAAAAAAAAACCAAACAATTAAAAAAAAAAGCAGTGAACTGTTTCAGGCAAGCCACAAAGACTATGCAAGTGTAATTCTGTAGAAAACAGAAACTTCCTGTAGAAAACTTGAGCTTTCAGAACATGTGTTTGGATGAGGAAAACATCTTCCCCAACCCTGAAATGCATCAGATTCCTCCTTCAGCTCATTTCTTAAGGAGGTTCTGAAAATGAACCATGGATACTGACTATGCATCCATCTCACAAATTAGTAGTAATCTATTCTATAGGCATGTGTCTTGTATGTATATCAATGTCAGATGCTATGGGGTGGCTTTTTCACTTGGCCTGTGAAGGGAGTCTGTACTTTATCCAGGAGCAGGTTGTAACATAGATATCCCCCACAAAACATTTTTATTTCAGCCTAGATTGAAGAAATTCCTCAAGCATTTGGAGAGTGCATGTTGTGACAGAAAAATAAAATGAGAAGATTTTTCACACATGGCAAATAACTCCCCAATTTTCACAGGTAGAACAACTCCTCCTCCCAGGCCTTGCGTTAGAAGAGCAAGAAATCAGCATTTACGTTTTATTTCACTGTCAAATTCATTATTCAGAATTCATCTTTAAAGATAAGAATTCCTGAAATGCAGGAGATACTGTTGCTGAAAAAAATCAAAAGTAATTGACAGTTCTCTAAAAGAAATCCTGTTTAGTTACTCTTTTGTGGCAAATAAAACTTTTTTTAAATAGTCCTGACCTATCTGGTGATCAGCAACCTGAAAAAGGACTTTCCCTTCACCAACTTGATTGAAAAGAATTCCAAAACCAAACAAGTTATAACCACAGAAATAGACGACACAGCAGATTTCTGCAGGCAATAAAGAGTGAAACATCCTCACAAGCAGGCTCATCCCTTCCCTACTGTTGTAAAGTAACTAAAGCAGTGGGGCATGCCCCGAGCTGTTCACTCCTTGCCAGAGACACACTTCCAAAACCATCCAGGAAATATGAACTAGTAAGAGGAATCACCATGGCAACACCTATTTAGAACTTTAAAAAAATTTGTTTAGGACAGTAAATACTGTCCTTTGGCTACAAAATCTACACTAGAAGAATGAAATTCTGGGAGATATCAGCAACAGCAAATTTAAAAGCAGCAAGTATCCTGTTCCAGAACCTAGTGACTGCAAAGCATGGGAACAGCAACATGAACAATAGAGGACCACAAAAGAGAGAAATCCGAACATGGGAAGCCTTCCCGTAAGGAGAGGTTTGAATAACAAGTTTCTCTGATTCGTGTTTTTCAGGCAGTAGGAGCTCTGTGTATGTCTACACTAGAAAGGCCAGCCTCTAACCAAGAGTAAAGTGTTCATCTCTACTTTGCAGATTTCTGCAAGTGAAATTTCCTTTTAATCCCTCTTTTCAGACTTGATATTTGGTTTTGAAATTCTTAGATCTACATGATGATGTAACTCACAAGTAGATGAGGACTTCTTTTTAAGAGGCAGAATAACCAAGAAGTAGCAAGTTCTGTCAGTGGAGTGACCTCATGGTTCAAAGAGCATTTGGTCTTTCAGTATGAACTTATTACAGTGACCTAACTGCAGCTTTGGCTAGTCCAAAGTAAACTAGTAAGTTTAAAACTTGAGGTCCACCAGATAAAATATATTACATGAGATGTATTACACTAGAAAATTAACCCTATTTAAAGAAAGAAGACATCCCCTCCACCTCCCGCCAAGGTTCTTCACTGATTTTGTAACAGAAGCTAACCCATAACTTGAATAACATCAACAGTCTATTTAAAATTAGTGCAGAAGCAAGAAGTCTTGATAAATCTGCAGAAATTCAAGTATAAGCGTTGGTTCCCTTGCTGGCTACACTGTCAAGTATTTGGAGATGGCCTAAGCTGAGATGGAGACTATAACTGTGGAGATGGATGAAGAAGTTAAAAATGCTCTATTTAACATGCCACTTTTAATAAGTTTTAAAACATTTTCCAACTTCTACAGTAGCTTCTGCATCTGTTCATTTTACCGTCCAACTTTTCCTAGATAAGAAAGTAGTCAACTACTTCACCTCTGAACTTCATGGATTCTGGTCTTAATGACCATCTCCTTCCAAAAGAAGAATCAAAACCAGTTTCCAACACAGTCTAGCCCAAACCCTGGGCTGTGACTCACCAGTGGTTCTCTCAGCAGGTCTGACTCAAGCTCATGTTGTACAGTTTTGCTCTCCCCACAGCAATGGTAACCGGCAATTAAGTAGCCTCCTCAAAAGCACAGAATCCTCCAGAACAAACTTCTTCAGAAAAACACCAAATACTAAACAATGACTCCACCTGCATGAACAGTTAACGTTCATCTCAAGGCTTATGGCTCCTGGGATCTGTGGAGGCCTTTTGGCTTCGGCTCTTTCTACCACATTTGGAGGAAACAGTTTAGGAGCAGCTATAAAGGACCTCATCTCCCTTGAAAGCCAGATTTGAGTCTTCAGCTTCTAGCATCTCAGGTTTAGCAAAACATAGCTAGCAACTTATTACAAAGTAGAAAACAAGCTCTTAAGACAAGTCAAACTGTCAATGTTAAGAGGCAACCTCCCTTTGAGTAATCCTGCATTAGATCATTTCAGGCTTCATATATACAAACATGAAGAATCTACAAGTTTTCAGGAAACTTAGGTCTAAATTCAGACCCCTAAATTTACAGATATCAGAGATGTCAAAGAAGTCTACATGATTTAGCGGTTTTGCCTAGATCCCACTAGCTGTAATAGAAGCTTATATTCTTGCATCACACTTAAGATGCAAATCTCACATTGTGTCCTACTACTTATGTCTCCAAGTATAAATACCAGCAATTTTTTAACCTTTCCAGCGTAGGACAGATTTTAGCTATAAGTCTTGCTATAGCCTTTCCCAGGTGAGACAACACTGTGAAGAGAGTCAACATTCTGATTTGTTAAAAAGAACAATAAAGTTTAGAAAAGTTCCAGTGCCTGGCATGTCAGATTGTAAGCAACATCCAATCAGTGAAAGGACATAACCAAACACACTGGAGAGAAATGGTTTCACTGTGACAGCTACCAACATCTCAGCAAGACATCTAGAACCCAGCAAACAGCCTGCTAAACATTGCTGTTTGGTCTAGCTGCGTGTGAGCCTCCAACAATAGCAAAATGAAATAGCAGTAACATATATATCACGTAACACAGTCACAAATCTGTTCTTGCTTATAACAGAATTTGTCAGGCCAAAGAAGCCCTGCTGTGACATCTCACTCAGTTTAACTGATTCAGCTAAAAAAAAGTTCTCCTCCCTTTGTTGAGCTATTTGAGTTTCAATAAAGCTACCACTTCCTCTTTGTCAACCTTCTTCAGTATTCAGAAGTATCAGTAAAACCAAAAGGAACTTAACAGGAAAGTATTCCACTTAAAAGTTTCAGTATTTAAGAACTATGAAATTAAGCATAAGTTATAACTATATCTTGACAAGGTTATCCAAGAAGATTATTGATGCAAGAAGCGACCTTTAGTCCAATATAATAATTTCCCCCTGCTAGCCAGTAACTGACAGGTATTTTCTGTGGAACTTCATAGGTGGTCAGAGGTAGGTCCACATCACACTAAGTTCTTGGAGGTACTGTTGCCACTTCTTTTACTGCTAAATCTATCTTTTCTCAGATAGGTAGCAAGTTTTCCTTTGTCATTTTAAGACTGAAGTTACTTCTGACTAACGCTAGCTTGAAACACTTGCAGAGCAACACATGGAGATGGGAGGAAGTGGTTGCACAGACTGCCATTATCTTTCCAATTTTTCTTCCAAGCATCAGTAAGTCTAAATGAACAAGTCTAACATCAAGGGCATAACCAGATAATACTCAAACTGAGTGTGTTCACCAGGGCTGAAAAATCAGGGAACCTGGATTTCATAAGGAGTTTTTCAGAGTCACCAAAATACTCTGAATAGCTTGTTGTCCAGGTTTTGACTGAGAGAGTTAATTTTCTTTCTAGTAGCTGATTAGCGCTGTGTTTTGAATTTAGGATGAGAATAATGTTGATAACACACTGAAGTTTTTAGTTGCTGCCAAGCAGTCAAGGACTTCTCAGCTTCTCATAGTGGCCTTCCAATGAGAAGGCTGGGGGCAGCCAAGAATCTGGGAGGGGACACAGCCAGGACAGCTGACCCAAACTGGCCAAAGGGATATTCCATACCATGTGGCATCATGCTCAGTATATAACTGGGGGATGGGCCAGGAGGCAGTTCAGTTCGAGAACTAGCTGAATATCAGCTTCAGCTGGTGAGCAATTGTGCTGTGCATCACTCATTTTGTATATTCTTTTATCACTACTATTATTGTCTTCCTTTTCTGTTGTATTAAACTGTCCTTACCTCAAACCACAAGTTTTACCTTTTTCTTTTTTCTTTTTGATTCTCTCCCCCATCACACGAGGGTGGGGAGCGAGCTAAGGGCTACGTGGTTGTTTTAGCTGCCTGCCGGGTTAAACCATGACACGTATATGACTGGCCAGAAGAAAAGCACAGAAAACTTATCTTTGCTTTCTCACCCCCAGCAGACTTCAGCAATTCATGAACAATTCTGTTTTGGAGTTGCAGCTTTTAGAGGAAGGGAACACCCTGGGATTCCGACTCAGCTCCAAAATTCATGCCTGGACCGCACATTTTCTTGTGAAGCATATTTCTTTCTATAGAGAGGAGCTCCCACAACCCTGTTCATTAAAGCTCATTTGTTAGACTGCTAGGTGGACAGAGGCTACATAAGTGATCTCAGCTCCTTCCACAAGGTGCTAGAATTCCTTGCAGGTTACATTTCCCCCTTTTCACTGGGTTTTTAAAAGATACTCAGGCTACTATCAGCAAGGCAGGGCCCCCAGAGTAGACCACACAGAGAATTGCTGCCAGGCAGGATGGAATAAAGTGAAAGAAAAAAAGTTGCAGTTGAAGTGTCTGCCATAGTCAAGACAGCTGCAGAGCTATACAGTTCTGGCCACCTAACCACATCTAGACAATGGAGACATTTTATAGCCAGTACAACCTCAACAAGCTATTTTACCAAAGCTGGCCACACTGAAAAAAACCTGAAAAAAGTCCACTGGAAAGCCACACGGAAAGGCTTTGTGGGAATTTTGTAAAGGATTCCTAACTATGTATAGCTTGTACTTCTACTTCAGCTACACAGCAGCGATTCAGTCTAGTGTTTGGAAGATTACCAGGAGGAGAAAGACTGCAAGTTGCTCACTAATGACAACAATGACAAGGTAATATAGGAGGTGGTTGTGGGCAAAAAAACTTGTCATTAAATGCTATTCAGGCCTTTCCTGTCATTCACGAATTTTTACTCAGTGTACACTGCCCATTCAAGCCCAGTGTCTCCTGTTATCCTGGTGAGCAGGAGGCAAAACGGAGACGTTCCTCAGTAGTAATATTCGCCAATGCTTTATTTTTCTTGATACATTTCCATAAACCCAAGGACAATTTTCTTCCTATACCGTATGCACCTACAACATACAGCAAATTGTCTAACCTTAATCCTATTCCATAGACTCTAAACTGATTTAAAGTGAATTTCAGCAGATAACAAGGATAGTTATTTTATGTGGTCAGCATGGATCACACTAGCTCTGGACAGCACCTCATCACAGAATGAGGCAAGGCTAGCAGAAATGAAATTATCAGGTAAAATAAAGGTAATGAGCAGCCTTTTTTTTTTTTTTTTTAATGAAAGTGGAGTACCAAGGTCAATTTGTAAACAAATGACTGCTGAAACAGCTAAATTGGGAAGGTTAGTACAGACTTCAAGAACAAATAATCTGTCTTCTGGAAAAGGCCTTGCAGAACAAGTGTTAAAACAAATTCAGTATCAGCATCCTCAAAAAAAAAAATAGTGCAATTGTGTTAATAATATTTAAATTGGCACTTCTTGTTACTTGACCTTCATGGGCATAAAGTAAAAAAAATCTCCACATATACAACGCTCAGATTACAAGATTACAGCCTTAATGCTACTGTATGTTAGCACACCAAAAAATCAGTTGCATTAACTCTTCAGTTATAAAGTTGTTTCAATATTACTGTTTTTACCCCCAACAAAACCATTTTATCACAGTGAACTCATATCTGCATCAAAAAACATTCAAGCAACTACGTTTTTAAAACCAAGAACACTAACTTCTCATTTAAAGAAAATAAATTAATAAATTTCTTGTCACACAATTACCTGAAGAGTTCTTTTGCTTCAAGGAACTGAAGCTGTGCAAACTGTATAAAACCTGCTTGCTGCAGGATTCGTTTGTACATTACCTATGAAAGAGAAGGGGGGGAAAAAACGTTTATTATATTTATAAGGAGTTATTTACATAGTGCTAGCCACTACTGCAATAACTACCTGCCAAAACCAACAAACACGTGATCTTCAACCAGACCTGTCAAGTTACATGCAAAATAAAGCCTTGATCCTCTACATTTTAAATTCTATGTACCTGAATATACTGAATCTGCTGCCCAGACTCATTTTCTTACACAAAAGTGTGTGAACACAACACTGTTCAGGAGTACTTACTAAAAGCAAAGTCAACAAATACCAAGTTTAAGTTTTCTTATTCAAATAATGACTTATCTGACATCAGTCTGACTTGCCTCAAGTTTTTGCTCATGTACTTGCAAAGGAGAGGGCCAATGGTCACCTTTGAAGTTCCCAGTAATTCAGATTTAAACTCAAGGGTCCCACTTGACCACATGCAGCCAACTTTCTCCCCGTCTCACCTCACTTCTCGAGCAACCTTGCTGCTGATTCTTATAGTCTGATCCCCATGTGATGACCACATTTCTGACTTTCTGCCAGTTTTTTTGTTGTTGTTGAATAAATATACTTCCAAGGCAGTTCAATTTATCCAATATGCAGTACATTATGCAATGTACATAAAAATATAGTTAAAAGAGAAGCACAAGTAAACCATATGAAAAACCTATGTGTTATTAAGTTTTAGTCTTAAGATCATGCCTAGACAGAAGAAAGTTTACAAGAAGTTCACCAGAAGAACATAAAACTACTTCAAATGCTAGGTATTTAATCTGAACGGTCAATTAATTACCACCAGACTAAATGACACTCTTGGGCCCAGAATATTTCCAACAGCAAAAGAGAACTACTAAAAGCAAGGAACCTAAACCGTGCTCTGCAAAGCATCCACCATTTGCGACAACACTGGTATTCTGCAAATACATCTAGCTACATCCGCATGCTCTCAGTTTTTCCCTTCAACTTTCCCACGCATATACAGCTTTCTAATGTTTAACATTGTACATGAATGCTGCTGTTAATAATAGACTCCCATTTTCAATGAAAATACTCAGAGAAACTCCAAGACATTCAGCATGCATTCCAGGCAGGAATTGCTAGAGAGTGTCAGGCCTCAAGTAGGGTAGACTGATACTCTAATCCGTGATTTTTCACCCTGATTAAAGATTGTGGATCTACCAAGAGAAAAGCTTGGCTTAAATCCGTTTAGTCTGTGCATGCTTCACTAATGGATTATCTTAAGGAAGTACTTAATCTTGATCATTAGCAAGCCATTAAAACCTATTTATTTGTACCATTGTGAGACTTTTCTTGCCTGGCCAGTGTGGGGGAGAGAAGGGGAACCAGAGGGAAATGCTATCTGGCACACCTTTCCAGACAAAAGTAACAATATAAAAGACCAATACTTCATGACATCTTTACATTAATTAATGTTACTATGCTTTATATCCAAGTGTACTAATTCAAAATAGTTAGCTAAAGCTAAAAGCGAATTTAATTGCAGTAATAAAGTAAAACTACCTCAGGTGATTAATCAAACATCCAAAATATTTTGGATTTACAATTGTGTTATTACACCAATAAATGGTTATCTGTGAACTGATGAACACCCATCTGGTCACATTCTTAAAGATGTTGGTAAAGGATTTCAATCTGCAACTATCTGCATCTTGTGGCACCAGAAAAACTTCAAAATCTAGCCCCAGACTTTCCAGGAAGGGTTGAAGTACAAACATTCCTCACCCTGCTAAAGAAATTAGTATCAAAAGTAGGGGTACTTTTTTGAAGTCTGGTTTCAATCTTTGCAACGGAGCGACCACTAACATTTATATATTTAGTGAATTAGGATATTGGAATTAAGTTTGAATTGATCCAAGACACTGAAAATACTGCTTTAATTGTACAGCTTAGTCTGTACTGCAATCTTTTCAACTAGAAGTTGAAAAGAGCTTGTTGATGGTGTAAGTACAGGCCCAAGGAATCAGTTTTAAATTTGAACTGATTAAGTGGTATTCATTTTCATTTAAATGTTGACATATCTTCACTTGTCCCTTAAAGCCACGCAACAAAGAAAGATGTACGATGTCTACAGACAGACACTTTCCCAGCTTTTTGAAGATGCAGTGATAGGATAGGGAGTACTCAGGCTGATTTTTAGTGAACAAGATAAACACTAGACATTAAGATGTCCTGTGGTAAAGATTATGGAAACATTGGAAAATTTAATATTCTCTCTTTCTCACAGGGTTTTAAAAATGGGCTAGACCTATAGAGTTAACTTTTGTTTATGACAGAAAAACACATCTCGAGTTCTTCCAGATCCATTTGCCACAATAGGCTTCTTTTAAAAATGTACTAAGTTACACCCAGCCAAAATTCAACACATTGTTTATTCCCAGATCATTTTAAAGAACCACCATAGGACTTGAAGCGTTTTAGGCAAACGCTATATTGTTGACTGAATTCACATTAAAAAACTAGCTACAAAAACGTGAAATGAGATTTGTATTAATTCATAACTGAAAGAGTGCTAGAAAACAGAAAGATGACTGCTGAAGCTGTGATAGCTATAGTAAAGCCTTCTCTCAATTGCTAGAAAAATGCTTTCTAAAATGGTCAGAATTACCAACTAGATTGCCAAAAAGATTTTTTCTAGAAAGTCACTGTGGCTTTTTGGTCAGGTTTGAGTGCAGTTAATGTTTTTTTGAAACTAATGTGAAATGAGAATTAAAAAAAAAAAAAAAAAAAAGAAAAAAGAGAGATACCTATGCAAGATGTGTGTCAATCTAACCAAGGTCTTCACTACCATCAACCATGATTTCTGCAAACTTCAGCTGTCCTGAAAAATTAATAAGTAGTATTCAGTCATTTCATGGTAGCATGGTAGAAAGGCCTTTGTATTCTTCTACCAAAAAATTATATCCAGCAAAGCCATCTCTTTGCAACACTTTTGCTTAGTGTTTTTTATCTAGCAGTAATTCTCGATACCCAATGACAAAGGAATTTTCATCTCATATGGCAGAGAAAAATTTGCAGTCTGCAGGGACCACGGGTTAAATAACAGGTTAGAGCTACTGATGCAAATAACTAAATATTGGCTGTACAAAGAATTCTGAGAGTACAGTACTTTATTGTTTCAATCCCACTATCATTCCGCATGTATTTATGCTGATATAATACTGCTGATATAAAGACAGAGAGCACGCACCTGTGCGTGCATGCAATGACACTGCAGTATTGAACCGTAGGAAAAAAAACCCCGTATGTCGCCAAGAACTGTCTTACAATGGTGTGACTGAGTTCAACTCACACATAAAGTGGTAACAGCCATTGCAAACTGCAGAAATTAAAGCAGTATGTGGAAAAGGGGGCACTATAGTACAGGTAGCAGACAATTACTATCACTCTTCTGTATGGATAAATTATAGTGGCTGGATCAAGTGTCTTCATGCCAAACCTATGCATTCCTCCCCCTGCTTGTATAAAATGGCAAAATAAGGCCTTGAAAGTGTCAGCTACTCAGGAATCAGTAAAGCTTGCACAACAGACATCCGAAGATATCTATTAGAAGATACCTATTATCTATCTAATATCTATTATCTGAAGATATCTCTTAGACAGGAGTTAGAAAGGAGCGACAATGTGATCAGTTAAAGTACACCAAAAAAATGTTGCAAAAGACACATGGTAAGGCATGTAATTTAGTTGAATTTCATTTGATTTATATTATGTGAGACTACAGTAAAAGAAAGTCCCGATGTGCTTGTAACAAACCTGTAATGACAGCATTAAGTATCAGAGGCACAAAAGAAAGCAAGCTCAACGTGTTACATTTCCAACTACAGATAAGGTCTGAAAAATTGGACTAACATCTCAACAACAAGGCCAAGTTGAGTCATTTTAATATGAGTTAGTAGGAGACTCCATCAATTTAAGCTGGTTAATATCAGTTTGCAAATATAGCCCAGAACTAGAACAGGCTATTTTGCTTGAAAGTCATGTTTTCTGTTTTTCAGCTGTGGCATTGACTGAAAGTAACTGAACATCCTTAAAAGCACATTAAGTTAGAAAAAACTTACATCATTCTTGGAAACAGTAACTTCAGGAAGACAGAAATTCTGTGTGCATAAGGTAAGTGTGAACAAAAAGTAACTTATCCCAAAGACAGAAAAATCCTAAATGCAAGAAAATTTAGGAGGAATAAGATTCTTAATCATGTATTTTAGAAAATGAATTGCAGTTCATCCTGTGGCAAACCACACAAAGACATCTTCCACACTAAATCTACATAAACTGGAAAGAAATAATTGGAGAATTAGAGGTCATCATACATAGAAGATGTTGATTAGATCAGGCATCCTGTTGTCACAGCAGGATTTTGGTTTGCTTCTTTAAACAGATTGCAAAGGAAAAGATGGAAGTGCAGATGCAAAGCAAAACATGTTGGAAACTGAACTCTGTATTTGCCTAAATACTTTTCATGTTCAAGTACTTCCAGATAGTTGTACCTTAGCAAAAGAATGGAAACACTTCTCTGGCCAAGCTTTTTTACTTCCAGCAGCCTCCCAGCTGTTCATTCAACGGAGGAGTTAAGGATCAAAATGAAAGCTGATACAAGTTTCATTTCATTTAATGACTGGTTTTCAAGTGCCTTGACCAAAATTTAAATGACAAGGAATTAGAAATGTCTTGATTTTTTTTTAAATAATTAAAAAAAATATCCTGACAGAATGAATCATTTTGGACCACTGCAATTGTGTAATTTCCACAGTCATGTTCCAAACTTTACATCTTCCTAAACAAACTGAAAGTAATGCAAACAGATACTATTTTAATGGCAACAAAATGCTCCAAAGTATATTAAAAGAAACAAATCAGATTTTCTGCAGGTTACAGATCAAACTTTGCTTTTAAAAAGGAAAGAAATCAAGTCAAATAGTCATTCACCTACTTGGTGAGTAGAGGTTTCATGCTACTTTTTCCAAGTTTCAGTTTCTCAATGACATATAGGAATAAATACAGTAGAAAAGGTAATATAAACCAGAGGTAGAAGGAAATGAGTACAAATCTCTAATCAACGAGTTACTAAGATACTTTGTCACACAGAAATCTTATACATTCAGCTACACACCAGTACAAGCACTACTTGTGTAACTTTGGAAGTAGGACATACTTGCTTTAGATTTCCCATCACTTAACTTCAAAGTTGTACTACCGTGGAGTTTAGGATATGGTGAGAATCTCTGACTAAAAAGAAAGTAAAACCTAAAAATTCCGATTTGAAATAAAGTATACTTTTTTGAATAGCAATAGCAAATATAACTGAACCTAGTACTAAGGAAGCATAGCAGTGGATTTGCTATCACTAGTTTTTCAGTTTTGTTTCAATTTTTTCAAGTCAGACACTTGAAAAAAACAACTCCAAAAAACCAGCAGAACAACAGCAATCAACCCTGCTAACATCACAGCCTTTACAACCACAAGTCAATTCAGCAGCACATCTATTTCCTCAGGCTGAAACCATAAAAGGTATTAGATTTCTCTTCAATGTAGATTCCTCCCCCACCTTCTCTAGTCATTTGACCATTGGTATACACAGCCCCACTGTGAAATTTATATTTTCATGAAAATTAAAGGAAAGACAGACCTGAAATTTCTCTTTTGGAATATTCCTTCTAGCTCCTTTTGCCAGAACAAGGGCTTCTTCCACTCTGTGGCTAGCTAGAAGATCCTGAATCTGTTTTTCCAAAGGTAGTGGCACCAAGATATACACTCCCTTATTAGTAGCAACAATCACCTTTCCTGTACAGAGTAAACAGACATATTCAGTTTACATTCTCTACAAAAAAACACATTTCAGAAATAAGCTTTAAGATTTACTATTTAAGATACAAGAACCTAAACAGCGTTAAAGTTCTAAACCTCATCTTTATTGTTACCATATTCACTAGATAGCATAGTTTACCTGTAAATTACAGCTCAAAAAGACAGAGATAATGGTAAATTTATTTATTTACAGGAGATTTTGTTCCACTCTGAGTAAGTGAAACTGGCTATAATCTCTCATGACGAACTAAGCTGTAAAGGCCACCAGTGAAACTATTGCCCAGATTCCAGAGAATAAGGACTTTTAACAGCCAGATACTTCCACAGGCTTACATTAGAAAATTTTAAGCTGTACGTGAAAAGTAGCAAGTAACATACAGTTTGTAGTGCTAGAGTTTGTAGCTCTCCTGGAAAAAAAAATCAATGCAATGAATTCCACGCTAAGGTGTTCTTAATTGAAGAATAGATCAAAAGAATTTTTTGTATGTTTTATTTAACAATTCTTTATGAAATGTCCCCTTTTAAACCTCTTACACAGATATTTTAGAAAGGAATACAAAATAACAATTTTTAAGATGTTAGAACTGTGTCAGGATAGCCGCTGTGAGCCTGTAGCTCACAATTACTGACTCATTGCATTAAATTAACATTGCTCCTTTGAAAGAAATTAAGTTACAGGAAAAAGCTCTAACCCCACAGACAATTAACTCGACAATTAGAGCACATTTAATGAGCATACAGTTTGTTAGAAACATGGAGTTTTGGATGACTGAAGTTTTCTTAACATAGTCTGCAGGAATCTATTCAGGAAAGCATTTGCAATAAAAGTTTCAACAGTTAATGTGCTTGCTAGACATTTTGTTTAAAAAGCACACTGAAGTGACTGCGACCACAGTGGTGGCTGTTTCAGAATTACTGATGCAAAAAAGTGTCCTTTTTAATACCTTCAAAGTCCTGTAGAATGTGACCTTCTTTAAAAGGCAGGGTTTGCTTTTGCTGCTGGTCCAACATGCTGTGCACGGTAATGAACTCATCATCGAGAGCAACCACGTAAGGGAAGCACAAAGCTGCTCCAATCACATTCTCTGACCAGTGCACAGGGGCACGCTGTGAAATGCCATCTACAGTTGCAAACATGCCTACAAAAAGGGAAAAACAAAGCTTGAGGCTCATGCTAGTTGAAGACTTGTTTTCTTCATACAAAGCATGCGTACAGAAATAAAAAGTCTCAGAAGAACAGGTGCAGTACCAGGTGGTATGACAACAGCACATCACACTTCCCTGGACCTTACAGACCTGTTGGTTAGTTCAGGGTTTTTTGTTTTTTTTCCTTTCTCCTTCACCACAGAAACAGACAACCCCAGAAGCTGAAAAGAGAGGAATACTGAAAGAAACTAGCAAGAATTATTCAAGTTCAGTAAGTTTCAGTTTTGGTTTTTTTTTTAAATAAGAATTACACCATGTAGTTTGAATTCATTTCAAAACGTTAGGATTTAGTGAGTTCAAACAATACTATCTTAGTAGGAGCCACAGACCCGGGCTGCCTGACCTATCTGGCAATACAGACATGTTTGTTCCTTGTAGTGACAAACATCTAAAGAGCATTTTAGTCAACAGACAATCATTTACTTATATTTCTTCACTTTTGCTACAGCAAAATTTTCACAGAACAAGGGTCCAGCTCCTTGGGAGGAGTTGCTTCCTGTGAGGCATCTGTGTATTCAATCCTTTGAAAAAAAAAATGCAGAGGCTGCAAATAAAGCATATTTTCCCAAAAGCCAAGCACAGAGTAAAGACTTTTTTAATATCCCAATGATATCTCCTATGCTGTCTTCAAAATAACCATATTAAGTCTTCAGTTAATTTGTGTTTTTCTTTGCCACTATCTTTTCTCCTCCCTCCTTCTCCTAGCTTAATAGAAGTTTGACTTTCTTTTGGATCGCATGCCACTGGTTCTATTTATGCTACTTGGTATTCTCCAGTTCTTCCTGAGACATTAGTTGAAGAAAACCTCCAGTCAAAATTTTCAGACCTAGTTCAGTAATCCTGTGCCAGCTGAGCCATACTGAAACATGATGTAAACTTCTGTTCTAAATCTGAATGCATACCCCTTAAACCCAGTGTTTTCATGCCATTAAAAAGACCTGCCCATGAAAATTGTTCTTTGGCAGGAACGAGCCACTTGACAGCTCGTAGAATAAGTCTGAGCTCTAAGGGACAGAGGAGATTAAAAGATTATGTTATTCAATTTATAAAATCTCTTCCAAACAGAGGATGGTGAGGTAAGGGTAGCTGGGTAGGAGGGCCATCTTGGGTGGGAGGGGAGGGGAGAGAGAGAGAGAGAAGAAAAAAAAAAAAAAAGGAAAACAGGTTGTAGGTTTTTACAGAACTGTAGTGTAGAGATTAAGCTTCTGGATCCTTGGATCCTTTACAGCAGCTTTGAAATGATCAGCCCTTTCCCATGACTAATGGTGCAACATAAAATTAAAATCTTGCATCTAACTATTAGCAAACGCTACTTGCTTTTTCACTATAATGATCAGCTTTTCGATCAGAGCACCTTACAGAAAATACTTTTTTTTTCCCCCATAATATATAATTCCCAATTTCCTCTATAGATCTTGATATTCTCATGGATGAGAAGTGGAATTCTATGCCAGGTAAATCACAATATCCATTTTTAATGCCTTCTGGTTGTTACTCTGTGCTATAATTCCATTTCAAAAAGTGGGAGAAAACTTGAGTTAAATACATACTAACCAGTAGGAAGCTCAGGACTAATTATATTTGAAACATTAATTCTTAGTATTTTCTATTTCTCTGACATTTTCAGAAATTTTACAAAAACTTTTTTTATTTTATTAAAATGACAGAGCTCTTTTTTAGGTAATTTTAAAAAACCCTTTACGGAAGTGAAAGGGTATGCAGAGCAATGCACGTTACTTTTCCAGGTCAATGTTTCCCTACTTCTCTGCCCTCAATAGCTATGGCTTCTGCGGTAGAATGATGCATTTGCTGTCTTCATCCAACTTTCACCTAAGGATAACAATAAACATGACAACTACAGTCAGAAACCATGGCCTTTTTATAGCACAGGCATGTGTTTGATCAAAGTGAGATGAAGCAAGTAATCAATTCCATATTAAAAATGCATACTCTATCCAAAGGTTACAAGAATTACCCAAAACACAGCTACACTGTTTTCAGCACCAAGAGATCTAGAAATTGACAGAATCACAGCATAATTTAAATCAGAATGGATTTCTGAAGGATATCCAGTCCAGCCCCCCACACACACTCGAAGTGGGACCAACTTAGATCAGGTTACTTTGTGCAATAGACTGTAGCTTTTGTTTATTTGTTTTAATCCAAAAAGCTTCTTAGTAAAAATATCTGTAAAAATCAAAACAAAATTGCTTTATTAATTACTACTTGTTTAAAAAGGAATATGAAAACCTTTGGTTCTAAAAGTTCACAGCATGAGGAACACTAGGAGTGGGTGAAAACAAGAAGGGAACAGGCTGGTTACTGTTGACTACCCCCTGCTTTATGCAGTGTCATCAGCTATGAGAAAAGACACTGTGTAACTTTGTCTGAATCATTCTGCTTGGTACCTGTGCGCTTGTTATAAGGCTCAGTTCTCCAACCCCATTTGTAGTCTACTCAATCACTATGCAACTGTTCAAACTATGCACCACTGAGAAGAGTTTATTCTGGAAAAGGAATAAACTGAAATTAGGTAATTAAATTATTTTTTTTTTCCTCATCAGTCATAGAAAAGTTGAAGCAGGAAGGGACCTCTGGAAACTGTCTAGTCCAACTTCCCTGCTCAAAGTAGGGTCAACTAGAACAGGTTGCTCAAGACCTTGCCCAGTCAGGTTTTGCGTATCGTTAAGAACAGAGACTTCACATCCTCGCCAAGACCTGTTTCCTGGTTTGACCATCATCACAACAAGGAATTTGTTTTCTTATGTTTACGTAGAATTTCCTGCATTTCAGTTTGTACCAACTGCCTCTTACCCTTTCTCTGGATACAATGTCACTAAGCAGTCTGACTCTGTCTTCTTTACATGCCCCCATGTTGGTAAGATCTCTGCAAGCATTTTCTTCTTCAGACTCAACAGTCGCAGTGTTCTCAGTCTCGCCACATATGAGGTGCTCCAATCAATTAGCTGTCTTTCTGGTCCTTCAGTGGATTTACTCCAGTATGTCCATGCCATTCCAGGAAAACCAGAACAGGACCCAGCACTCCAAACCTGGTCTCACTAGGACTGAGAGGAAAAACTGCCCCTCTCAACCTGCTAGCAGCACTTTTCCCAACAGAATCATTTAGGTTGGGAAAAAACCCTTAAGACCATCAAGTCCAACTGTTAACATAACAGTACCAAGTCCACCACTAAATGTGGCCCTGTAGGCTGTTGGACTTTGCCACAAGGGCACATTGTTGGTTCATGGTCACTTTGCCCACTGGAGCTCCCAGGTCCCTCTCTGCAAAGCTGCTTTCCAGCCGGTCAGCCCCCAGTCTGTACTGGTGCACAGGGCTGCCCCTCCCTAGGTGCAGAACTTGCCATTTCCCTTTGTTGAACTTCATGAGGTTCCTGTCAGCTCGTTTCTCAAGCCTGTCAAGGTCCCTTTGAATGGTATCAGCCACTCCTCTGACTTTTGTATCATCTGCAAACTTGCTGAAGGTGCACTCTGCCCCATCATCCAAGTTGTTAATGAAAATGTTAGTATTGACATCACTATTGGCCCCCTGGGGTACACAACTAGTGACTGGCCTCCAGCTGGACTTTGTGCTGCTCACTACAAACCTTTGAGCCAGGCTTTCAATCCACCTCACTGTTTCTCTAGTTCATTCTTCATCTCTACAAGGACATCTCCATCACCTTTCTGGGGATCAAGGTAAGGCTGGCCAGCCTGTATTTCCCTGGATCCTTTCTCTTGCTCATCTAACACAGGAACAAAGACATATGTTTTCTTCCAGTCCTGAGGAATGTCCCCTGATCATCATGACCTTTCAAAGATAATCAAGAGTGGCCTTGCAATGACACTGACCACCACCCTCAAGCATTCATGGGCGTATCCCCATCAGGTCCCATGCATTGTCTGTCCAGTTTATTTAAATGTCCCATAACCTGATTCCGCTCTATTGAGGGCAGGTTTTTGTTACTCCAGATTTTCCCACTGGTCCTAGGGGCTGAGGATTCCTGAAGGAAGGTCATACCATTAATGACTGAGGTAAAGAAGGCATTAAGCACCTTGGCCTTTTCCACGTCCTTTGGCACCAGGGCCCCCGCCCCATTTAGTAGTGGGCATCCATTAGCTGCCAATATGCTTGTAGAAGCTCTTTCTGTTGCTCTTCATGGTGCTCAGCAGAATCAACGCCAGATGGACTCTGGCCTCTCTAACCCCATCCCCACATGCTTGGACAGTCTCTCTATATTCCTTCCAGGTCACCTGGCACTCCTTTCACCTCATTTGCTTCCTTTTTATATTTGACTTTAGTCAAGAGCTACTTGTTCATTAATGTTGGCCTCCTGCCACCTTTGCTTGTTTTCCTGCTCATTGGGATGGACCACTCTTGAACTTGGAGGAGGCAGTCCTTCTCTCCAGGACCATAAACCCCCAGGATTCTTTTAAGTAGGAACCTGAACTAAACCAAAGTCTGCTGTCCTCCTCTCCAGCCTTGTGGTCTTTTTGCCTTGTTCCCTTCTCAGGATCCTGAACTTCACCATCTCACGGAACCTGCAGCACGGCTGCTTCCCTGACATTCACATTCCTAAACAGGTTCAACAGAGCACATCCTCTCATCAGCTCCTCAGTCATCCAAGAGTCAAGAAGTTAACACCAATGCACTCCAGAAATCTCCAGCACTGCTTGTGCCCTGCTGTGCTGCCCCTCTAGCAGGTACTGGAGTGGTTCAAGTGTCCCCTGAGAACCAGGGCCTGCAAATGTAGGCTTCTTCCTGTTATCTGAAGAAGGCCTTACCTACAACATCTTCCTGATAAGGCAGTCTGTAGTAGACACCACAATGTCATCCATGTTAGCCCACCCTCTAACCCTAACCCATAAACTCTCAGCTGCATCCCCCTTTGTTCCAAGGCACAACACACCTTCCTGCTGCTCTCATGTAATGGGTAACCCCCCACCTCAGCTGTTAACACATAGTTGTGCTGACTTCCTAGAAAAATTGAGAGAGCTTTCACTGTTGTTTCATGCACACTTCTTTGTGTGCATATGCCTGTAGCAGGGCCTCTTCAGCCCTGTCTGGTGATTACAAAGTCTGTCATTCACATAATCCTGCATCCTGAGTTTGCCAACTCAGCCTACAACCACCAGTCCCAGTTTAAATCCTCCTCATCAGGTTGGTCAGCCTGTTGGCAAAAACACTTTTGCCTCACTTGGCCTGGTAGATCCCATCTCTTCCTTAAATAGGGATCCATAGTCGTAAAAGCCAAATCCCTTGTCACCACAAGCTGTGCAACCAGTTGGTGACTTGCACAATCCACCCACTCCTCCTCAAGCTGTTCTTCCTCACCAGCAAGACTGATGAGAAAACCTCCATCTCCAATACGAGGGAGTTTCCCACTACTGTTACTCGCTAATTCCTCCGGATGCTACTGCATTGTACAGGCTCAGATGATTTCTTGGACAGAGCTTCCTGCTTTTTATCTGCTACCACAGCACTGAACACATTCTACAGATGCAGATCTGCAGACAGAAGAGGAGAGTTCTTCCTTTTACAAGAAGTCACAAGTTTCCAGCCTTTCCCATCACAGAACAAGCAGAGACTCAGCCTGCCCTTCCCTCAGTACAGTTGGGGGTTCAGGCTCATGCCTGGGTGCTGGAGAAGATTCAATTTCCTTTCTGTCACCTCTGATGCCATGCACTCTGCTGATCTCATCCTGCATCTCCTCTACTTGGCAACACAAATCCTAAACCAAGCACACATCTTCTGCAGGCAAGGACAAAACTTCCTCCTGTCCTAGCATCAGCAAAAGGCACCAGGCACTCCCTTCAGCTCAAGGTTTGAAAAGCTCCATCGTCCTTTGGGAGCTCGGCCCGAGCGGAGGCCTCTGATGTCTTGGGGTAGTTGCTCCAGCTGGTGCTAGGAAGCGTGCCCTGCACCAATATACAAGAACTGTTTGCTTTGATTTTAAAACCTAAAGCCTCTGTACGGCAGAATCTGATTAGAAACTGTGTTGGGTTT